TTTGATGATTTTGGTGGAGTCATGTTTCAAAAGAATTGTGACCAGAATAAAATGCTTATGCACCATTCCAGGACTGCCTCCAGAGCTGCACAGCTGGAGAATTGACAGTGAAAGGATCTCTGGACAGGCTTCTTTACCATATCTTGGCCTGAATAGGCATGTGTACATGTGTGTCCACATGTGTATTACTTCCTATTTAGCTTTTGGTCAGTGCAATGTTCTTGGCTTAGGTGAGACCCTTTGAGTCACTGAAGTCTGGCTTTCATCAGTCACCCAAGAAGAGGTAACACAACTCTGGGGAGGGGCTGAGCAATCTCAGCTAGGGCCTGCATGCAGAATGATGCCCAAGCTTGCTTCACTGAGAAGCTCAGGCTGGAGCATGGCCATCGGCAAATAATGACTCTGCTTTGGGCACAGCTGAGAAGCATGTAAACCCTTCCAGAAGGTAATGGGTTCATCAGGATTTTAAAGGAATGGCCCTTTGTCTCAAGCAATCCTACTTCTAGAATTTAGCTAGCACAGAGCTCTGCATAACTATGAAAAAAACAGCACAGATGTGTGTCCCCTAATTGTTTATGCTGGTAGAAATAATAAAAAGGTATTCAGTAAAAAAATGAGTCCATCTAACGGGGGGGGGGGGGGGGTTGGGGGGGGAAGTGCACGGGATTATGGTGATGGCACACGGGTGACTTGGTGATGGGAAACCTGCGGGGATTACAATTGAGATGGGGAAAATATGTACAAAATGATGTAAAAATAAACTGTTATAAAAAAAATGCAAGGGAACTTTTGAGATTGGTAAGACTATTCAATTGATATATTGACACAAGCTATGCGACGGCTATCGTCTGACAGATTCCGGGTAGCTCGGGAAAAGCTCTGAAAGATCAGACTTTCCATGCTAACTTGTGTTATGACCTCCCTTTTTTGTATAATCGTAATATCAAAATATTCTGAGCAACTTTCAGCCTACAATTGGATTGCCTCAGCTGCATAAGGCCTGCCTGCCCTGACAAGCAAGCACTACAATTTCTCACCAGGGTGAGAAATTCCTCTGAAGTCAAAAGTGACTTAACAACTGGCTGATCAATAAAAACAAAAGGGCTGTTTCTGCAAAGTCTCTCACTGCTGGACTGAGGAAAACCCAAATCTTATTCTGCTATCTCACCTAGCCTCCTATTCAGCGTCTACAGAATTACTCAAACTTCCTACTGTCTGGCTTTAGATATGGAAATTCATCCAGGTTGCCTATTTTAGAGCTAGTCAAGTTTTTTACCTGCTACACTTCAAAGCAATCCACAAAAGTCTTTCTGGCTAGTCTTTCAGGATTCTACTATCTAGTCTTTAGATAAGGAAATTCACCTAAGTCTCCTATTCAGAGCAAATTATGCCTAGACCTCAAGGAAACTTACTTAAAACCTTTTAGCAAGCTTCTTCAAAGTAGAAAAACTTACTTGAAACCTTTTAGCAAGTTTCTTGATTAGCAAGAAATTTCCTATTCCTGAGACCCCAGACCATTTTCTTAGAAAAAAGGTGATTGTGATCTTAACCTCTTTCGTATGCTAATGCCCCTGCCTGCTGGAAATGTATAAAATAAACCTCTGCTAAAGGCAGAGCAGGAAGATTTGCACCCAACTCCGACTCCAGGTCTTCCTCACTCCCACTCCTCTCCCCCTCTTGGAATCTCTGCAAGCCGACGCCTTCCCATCTTAGGGTCCTGCCTGTGTTGCCTCCAGACACCTCAAAAGTTGGAGCTGGTCTCCGACAATATATAACACTGTAAAGATGGCTACATGAAAAAAAAAAAAAAGTGAGTCTATCTACATGAGGGACCCTGTGAACTCGTGTGAACAGCACTCAAAGCCTTATCACCTTAGACAAGGCCTGATGACCCAGCACAAAGTTCAGCTACTCTTGAGCATCAGGGTCCTCAGTACCTCAAAACCACAATATCAACCCTGGCTACTTAGCCTTCACACCTGTCACTATACCCCTGGGCCATGGTGGTGACAATGGTCCTGAGCGAGAACACTCATTCTCACCTCACCTGTCTGCAGGTTGCTCTCAGTGGAGGACTGGAAGCATGTTACCTGCTTTTGACCTGGTCTTCTAGTCCCAACTTTGACCTGTGATCTCTGTGAGACCTCTGACAAAGTTCTCAATCATCTCACCCTATATCTGTATGAGTAATATGAACAATTCCCTGTAGCTGCATTTGTCTGATCAATCTATTAAGCCACAGAACCAAACTGACTCATCACCATTGTAATAATAATGAGGGGCAGCTACCCCTGGGTTATCACATTTAATCTTCCAAGAACCTGGGTTTGGGTCTTGCCATCACCACCTGTCCCATGTCAAACAGAAACAACCTCAAGAGGTCAAACGCCTACTCCACTTCAGGTTGGATGCAAGGACACATCCCACCACAGGCCCAACCTACAGCGCCAGGTCACGTGAGCCAAGAGTCACGCTCAGCACGTGTCGGGGCACAAAGCACCGGGCACGCACACCAGGCTGCGGGAGTAAGAGGTGGCACAGGTTCAGCCACTCTCCTGCAGCCTGACAAAGCCCTCCCAATGGTCAGCTGCTGAGGCTGATGGGAGGCTGGTCCTCTGTAACGCCGGTGTCCAGACACCTCAGGGGGATGGACGTGCACATGGCCTACGGCTCCCACTTGGGCCATCTGCGATATAGACGATGAGCTCGTCTGTCGGTGCCAGGTGTCAGTCACTGGGTAGGTAAGTCAAAATCCACTGTCAGTACACTTTACTATGTGTGCTACAGCTCAATTTTTGGAAAATTTTTTTAGAAAAGGCATTTTCTTCAAAAGTAAAAGTTTTCCTTCCTGTGAGTCTCATCTCCTACATATTGGTACACAATAAACAAATGAATCAGAAGTCCTCTTCTTTTGAAATAGGTTATCATTTTCTGTTGCACAGATGACTTGGGTTGTTCCGGCAGCACCCACTTGCCCCCAAACCTTGCTGGTGTGGTCACTGATGATGGGGGGGGGGGGAGGTGTGGAGCAGGGCACAGAGTGGTCAGGATATATCTCAGACTACCAAGAAAGCCCTGACTCTGATGCCACACCAAAGCCAGGCTTTTGGTCCCAGCTCTGGGCTTCTTGCTGATAATGTGGGTGCCTCTGATGTCTGCTGCACCTTGGAAGTGAGTCTGTTCTCCCTCTTCCTCTTTGCTGCCTCACAGCACCCTTTGGCACCTTGGGCCCTACAGGTCAGGCATCTGCCCTCTGTACACAGTCCCTAGTGTCTACCCTCCTTTCAAGGCAGTCTCCACCAAAAGCAGAATGCAAGGCAGGAAAATCTAGCATCCAAACAACCCAGAGGGCTTGGGTTTGCCTGACATTTCTCACCCAGGCAAGCTGTGGGTTAAATTTTAGCAGGTGGTACACATATGAGAGGTGCTGAGGTTGCTGCTGGAGAGCAGATGCAGAGGGGATGCTAATCTATTTCCCTAAAGCCCCCCTCAGAATCAGTCACCTGATTGATGATTGGATAGGGAGGTAGGAACATCCCAGGTTGCCGAGAAAGAGGGGCTCCCCTGCAGACATGAGTTCCCCTATACTTGTGGGCTGCACCATGCCTGGGAGAATGGGCTCCAGCACAGGGAAGGCCCCCAGTGAAAGTGGGGACATGGAGGGTATCTCCCATGGATGCTGCTATGTCAGAGCTGAAGCCCAAGGAGGGCAGAAGAAACAAAAGATCCTGGTGCCTTGGTTCCTATGCAGTACCAATGCAACACTAGAAACACTAGAACTTCCTTCTCTAATGGTACTGAAGGTCCTTTTGGGACTGGACAGAGTTGGGGAGACAAGAAAATTAGCAAACTAGAGGCCACAGGTTACCAAAATTTTCAATGGCAGGGCCTGCTCATGAAGTGGTAACCACACTTGCCTACTTACAGTCAGCACTGCAGGGAGCTCAGGACTCCCAAAGCGAAGCATGCAGCAGGCACTCAATGAGTGCAGGTTTCATGACTAGTATAAGAAAATATGTTGCTCACTTCGAGAGAGAAGCAAGACACAGAAATGAGCACAGACCAGTGATGATTTATCTATAATAGGCAGAGCTGGCACTGAAGATTCTGCCACTCGCAACAACTCTTGGACACCTGTCTGGATCAGGGCCACCATCTCTGTGTAGGCCCCACCCCTCACAGTCTCAGCCCCGCATCATATTGGTGGCCTCAAAATAAAGGGGAGCCCAGAACCATCAGTGTCCTCTTGGGCCTCCCCCAAGTAATTCTATTCACAGGTGACAATAAAACAAACAACTCCTTCAAGTTGAGACAGGGGTCAGAGTAGGAAAGCACAACTCTTGACTATGGAAAACAGAACTTTTTGAACCAGAAAGTTTCTGCCAGAATCTGCCCACATATTCAGAGGAAATTGAAAGGTCAGAGGAACATGTGAAAGGACACCCAGGAACACCACTAACAGTATACAGGTGAGGGGAAATTCCAGACATTTCTTCAGTAACAAATCAAGTGAAATGGAAGACAGTGAGAGGTGGGGGAAATCTGTCTATCATGAGAAATAATGTGGGTCTTATTTAGATCCTGAGAATTTGACTGGACATGTAAGGTTTTATGATATCACTTTGTGTTTGTCAAATATGATAATAGCTAATTTTTAAAGTGATTATTAAATTGACCAAAAAAAAAAAAAAGGAAAGAAACTTAGGATTTGGTTAAAAAATAACTGTAGGGGAGCAGGTGAAACAACCATCCCCAAGGAGTGCTGCTGAAGTTATGTGGTAAGAATGTGGCTTTTGTTCTTTGTCTTAAATCTCAAACATCCCCATTAAAAGAAAGAGTTGGGGAGAATTGTGTTTGGAGGTGCCCTACATGGAGAGGCAGGTCTAGTCTGAGGGGTTTCAAAGCATTCCACAGGAAAGCAGCATATTCTGCAAATGCTTATTGCCATCTTTCAAGTACACTTTTAAATGGTTTTTCAAATATCAGTTAAAAACACCCACCTCACACGCCAATGTGACAGGATTCAGTGCAATCTGTGACCTGGGCCAACCCACACTGTTCGTGATTGTCTGTGAATGATAAGGACAGAAACTAAAGTCAGAAACTTAACAGCAACTTGACACAGCAACTTTATGTCTGCTGAATCTCATTAGATAAGGGCTTTAGTTTTATGTATCTTCCTTTTCATTATCTCGATTTTTTAAAATCTTTTTTCCATTGCCCTACAAGAGACTAAAAAAAAAAAAAAAGAAAGAAAGAAAAAGACCCTTCACCACAGAGTATCTGAGGAGCACTGTAATACACTGAATGTGAATCCCTGGGACACGGAAGCCCACCTGCTGGGTGGTCTGTCAGAGACCCCAGAACAAAGCTTCCCTATCTACCATCTGGGCAGCAACTCCAGCACTTTCTTTAAGCACCACACTGACTAGAGAGTAGCTATACTAGTCCATGTTCAACCAGGCACTACAGAGGATAGGGTCACATTCCTCCAAAGGCCAGCAAGGCCCAGGAGGAGGTGTTGAACACCTGTGCTGTTGAGAGACCATCATCAGCTATGAGGTGACCAGATCACACCCCACAGTGCATGCACACTCTCCTTCAAACCCCCCACAGGGATGAGAGCATTATAGTTAGTCAGACTCCAACTTTGGATTCCTTTTTTCACTACAGGTCTTAAGACAGGAAAGTGAACAGCTTAAAAACTCCCATGTCTGATGATTTGGTGATGGGAAACCCAAGGGGATTGCAACTGAGATGGAAAAATGCAGAGAAATATGTAAAAATAAACTATTATAAAATTAAAAAAAAAAACCTCCCATGTCCTTCAAAACAGCCCAAATGCTCAAAAGTAGATGACTGGATTAAAAAGATGCGGTACATATACACAATGGAGTATTACTCAGCAACCAAAAAAATAAATAAACACATGCCTTTTGCAGCAACATGGATGGAGCTGGAAGGGCTCATGCTTAGTGAAATAAGCCAGAAAGAAAAGGAAAAATACCAGATGGTTTCATTCATAGCAGGAGTATAAAGTACCAGGGGAGAAAATAATAATAATAATGAACAACTATATACCAGAGACATTTTATGGGCATGGAGTTTGGGGAATGGGATCAAAAATGGGGAGGGGGGAAGTACATTGACTATGTTGATGGCACACGGGTGATTTGGTGATGGGAAGCCCACAGGGATTACAACTGGGACGGAAAAAGGCACAAAATGATGTAAAAGTAAACTATTATATATATATATATATATTTTTTAAGATTTATTTATTTATACATATGGAACTGGAGTACAGGCCAGAGATGCGGATGGTGAGAGGCTTCACCAGAGACAGAGTGGGGAGCAGAACAGGCAGATCGATGAAGTACACTGCTGAGGGGAGCAGAGGGCAGGTCAGGAGAAGTCTGCCTCACCCTGTGGATTTCCTCCAGGGCAGGCAGGAATCGAATTCATGCGGGAGTGGCTTTAGCTTCTTAGGGCTGTGCTTTAACCTGCTGTGCCACCAGGGAGGGCCCACTATTATATTATTAAAAAAAAAAAAAAAACTCCCATGTCTTCCTTGTGTCAACTTCAAATGACTATCACTGAACTAAAGTGCAGGAGTAAGATGGAAACCACCACCCATGGACCCTGGTTTCAGGAGTATGTATACACAGCTATTCTATGATATGCAAAAAAATAAAGCATAAATATGAGTTTATAAAGTAAGTCACCATTGCCTGTGTCTGTTTTATACACTGAGATTCCAAGTTTCACTACTTTAAAAAGGACATAGAAGGAGGAGGTGGTCAGATCCGTCCCCAACCCTGTCACTACCCACGGGTCAGCAACTTTGGCAGATGGGGACAGAGTGGCCCATTTCATAGGTTTGTTCACTGGGCAGAAGGAAATAGGAGCTGAAAGCATGATACAAGGAGTTAAAAGTGGAAATCAAAGAGCATGAAGTAATTTTAACAAGTTCACAGCAGAGTATGGGTTCCATCCTCACATCCCCTCACTCATCCTGTCACTTTCTCCTTTAAGTGTGGAGAGTAAAGCTGCAACTATGATGAATGATAAAGTTACTGATAACAGATTAGTTAAAGTATCATCAGTCAAAAGTAGATCACCACCCTGCTACCTGTGCCCAGCACAGTGCACGCCGCTCTCCCTATGAGATCTCTAGTAGCCCTCGCTGCAGCCCGAGCCAACGCCATCACCTGCTGACCAGGTGGACTTTCAGAGAGCCCAGTCCTTGCCTCTTCTACATTCTAGACTTTCTTTGAGACCCCAAGGTGACAACACATGGAAACAACACAAGTACACACAGGTTGTGCTTCATGATTTTATTCTAGGAACTGGCAGTAGTAGTAGCAATATGGAGTTAATACTGTGGCCACATCTATGGGCTTCCCTGGGCCAGCCTCTCCTCACTGGAGCAGAGAAAATGCTTATAGTTGTGTGGGCTTCCTCAGAACAGTATGGTGTAAGCCCTCTGCAGGGGCTTGAGGCACTACTACTTACTCTGTGAAGCTCAACCAGTTGGAGCAGAGTGTAGAGGGGAAGGAGAGGGTAGTCCAGAGGGCAGGGGTGCTCCCAATGGCCCCCTCTCCCAGCTTGGGCAGGCCGCTGGGCCCTGGGAAGCAGCCAGAAACAAAACGGCTTGCTCTTCATGAGACAATGAGTCCACTGTTGACTGGCTGGGGCCTTGATTAATATTTGCAAAAGGAATGAAGTGGAAAATTCCACCTGTGTGGGTGGAGACTGAGCCTGGGACATGTCAGCAACCCCAGTGGCCTTGTTCTCTCAGGGATGGATCAGTGGAGAAACAAAGGTCTGACTGATAAAAGTGATAGAACCTGAGGGTGTCACTGAACTTGGGTACAAAGGAATTTCCTTATTTGGCTTATAGATATCAATTTGCTTTTTTATTGCATCCCTGCCTCTAAATTTGCACAGCACCTTTAAATCCTTCAACTTTCTTCAGTCCCTCAAAATAGCCTTGCCAGGCTGACTGATGTCAGTCCCATATTATGGACAGAGAAACTGAGACCCAAAAGACCAAGAGCCTCACCCAAGGCCAGCAGCTGGTGAATGAGGCAGGTGATCTGGAGCCCTGCCACCTTTGCCCCATAGCACAGAGCCTAATCCAGGAGGCTTGGGGTCAGAGAACATGAGTGGAGCACTAGTACCTGAGGAGGAAGAGAAGGAAGCCCCCATCAATCCTCCTGGCTGGGCAGGCGTGGTGCCAGGCTTGGAGAAAGGTATGCATTCATTCATTCATTCATTCAAGCATTTGATGAAGGGCTCCTAAATACCAGAACATGCAGGTATACCTCATGGTGAGGCCTTTGGGAACCCAGACCTGGCACAATCTGTGACTGAAGGGGGAAAGTCAGAGTATCTCCAAAGGTCGCTTCCCTCGCTGACTAATCTCACCACATTTACCATTGCCATTAACCCATCTCTTCCCTCCAGATTGTTTTTTTTAAAAAGATTTACTTATTTATTCATACAGAACTGGGGTAAAGCCAGAGATGTGGAGGGTGAGAGGATTCACCAGGGACAGAGTGGGGAGCAGAACAGGCAGATTGATGAAGTACACTGCTGAGGGGAGCAGCGGGCGGGTCAGGAGAGGTGTGCTGAGCCTGTGGATCACCTTCGGGGCAGGCGGGGATTGAACTCGTGCGGAAGTGGCTTAAGCTTCTCAGTGCAATGCTTTAACCCGCTGCACCACCAGGGAGGGCCAGATTTTTTTTTTTTTAAGATTTATTTATGCTTACAGAACTGAGGTACAGGCCAGAGGTGTGGTGGGTGAGAAGATTCACCAGACAGTGTGGGGAGCAGAACAGGCAGATCTACTGAAATACACTGCTGAGGGGAGCAGTGGGCGAGTCAGGAGAGGTCTGCCACACCATGTGGGACAGCTTCCTGGTGGGGGATCGAACTTGTGCTGCAGCGGCTGCAGAGAGCTGCGCCACCAGGGAGAGCCCTCTTCCCTCCAGTTTTATAGAAAAAGTGTCCCTGTCTCCAGTTTATAAAACCACAAGATCACTGGGCTTGGGCACTCAAACATACAGTGTCCCTTCTAGCAGGCAAGCTTGGACCTCCTCAACAAGGCAGGGAGGGACTCTTTTGGGATCACCCCTCCTCCAGATAAAGAGCCCCAGGACAGAGAGGTGCATCTTGTCCCCCTACAGTGCACATCAGCTGTGGCTAATCTCTTAGCGCCCATCCTCTCTAGTGCTGTCTGCAAAGTTGGCTGGGGCATTATTCCCTTCCCCGAAATCCCAGAGAACCAGGGCCAAGGCAGAGCCCTCTCTGTGCCCACACCCTCCCCCAACTGTGAACCCAGGGTCATGGAGAGGGGAAAGTCATTCAGACCAAGCCAACACCCTGCCCAGGCTCCTTCCTTTCACTCCTCCTACTCGCAAGCTCATGTGGTGGCCTCCATACCACTCTCACCTCACCCTTCTTCTCCTTTGCCACCATCTGTCCTAGAGAGAGCACCTCTTCAGACTCTTTCTTAAAACAAAATCACCTCCACTCCCATCTCTGAACTCACTTCCTCTCAAGTCCATCTTGCGCCCTTTTGTCAATTGCTATCAGCTCAAACCAGGGACCTGTCACAGCCAGGCCACTCCTGGCAGGTCTGCTCACCCCTGTCACTGGTCCCTCATTTCTGAGTTTTTCTGATGTAGTGCCTCCCAGCCCTCACCTCCCTGAAACTCTCCTCCCCCAGGTCCAATCCTCCTTCCTTCTCAATGACCCCTAAAGATGTCTGACTCCTAAGTCCTGTCTCCAAGCCTACCCTCTGCATCTGATTGTCCCAATGCCCTCACATGCCATATTTCCAAGCTCCCACAGCAGCCTCTGTTTAGTGCTCAGCTATTAAGCCAGGACGCTACCCCCTGGGGCCAGCAGGCACATTGCAGTGAATGCATTGTGTTGAGCAACTCCCTCTTTGCTGGTCTTGGAGGGGCTAGCCCCGTTACACAGATGGCCTTTCTAAATCTGAAAGCTGGCTACTACCTAAACTCACTGCTTGGCACCAAGGGACAAAGTTCATGACCCTGAGCTGGCCGACCAGGCTATATCCATCTGCACTTCCCCTGTAGGGTGAGCACACATGTCCTTGACCATAATCTCACTGCACTCATCTTCAGTCCAAGAGCACCCATCAGCCATCACGCGTGAGTTGTTCACCTTTGTACCAGAGAACTGGCACTCTGTAGATGTTTGCTGAAAGGCAACTATTAGAGCCCTGTGACCAGGGCTAAAATCAATTCAGAGCTTTTGAAAAGAGGGCCTTGCCCTCCCCCCCCCCCCCCCCCCCGCAGGGGTGAATTAATCTCAGCTGAGTAACAGTGCTTGACCAAGCTCCTGAAAATACCACCTGCAACCCATTATTAATGTATGCCAGAGCCCCCAGTTGACCTGGAGGCTGGGCTGTGCTCCATGTAGGCCCAAATCTAAACCTGCAGGTGGGGCAGGCCTCACACAGTAGGGCCTCAGAAGAAAACAGTCACTTGATTAAGTACAACTTCTCACCAGCTCATAACTCCATTCATTAAGTGCTTCACCCCTCTCAAGCCTTGGTCTTCTTCTTGAGAATGAAGCTAACTCGGCCTAGGAGTTTAAATGACCTTGAGTTGCTCACCCCAACTTTGTTCTTTGCAGAGTTTCAAACTCTGTGACTCCACCGCCCAGTTGATTTTTATTAACCTTCCCCAAAACCACTGGGTGGGTCTTCAAAGAATGGCCCCAGAGAGGACTTTTTAAATGCAGACCCAAGATCCTTAGTCATGAGGGGTCTGTCCTAATCTCCCGGTAAACCCAGATTTTGCCTCTGAGGCATCTCTGAGAGATCTTGGACTCAGTGAAACTTAAGAAGCTCAGCTCCAAACTTAACACAGCTTAAGGTTTTCGCTGGGCCCCAAGTGTTAGTGTTAAGCCTCATTTTACAGAAAAACACATTCACCGGGAAACCTGGGGAAAGAGGGAACTTTCTACTTTTCTAACAACACATACTTTTTGCGGAAAAACTCTCCCAAGAGCGCAGTGAGACTTCTGCTGCTCGAGTCGGGCTCCTTTTGTATCCCGAGATTCGGCGGTTGCAGAAAGTGGGGTCCCAGCCTCGGCGTCCAGCCGGGGCTCTCCCAACCTGGCCCGAAGCTGCCTGGAGCTCTGGCGCTGCGAGCCGGACCCCGCAGGACCGCTGTGAGAGGGTCGGCACACGCTCGGGGTGCGTTCCCCGCTACTCACCCTCGGTAGTTCCGCCAACGAGCAGGACAGACTCGGCTGCGGCCGACTAGGAGCTGGGAAGGGGCGGGGCGGAGCGGGCGGGAGCAAGAGGAGCAGCGGCCTGACCCGAACATTAACTGGCGGCGCCCGCGCACCGCGCGCTCTTTGTGGCGGAGAAGGGAACCGCGGGCGCTCGGACCCGGTCTTCTCTAGGAAAGGGCGGAGACCGGGCAGCTGGGCTGGAGGGCCGGGCTCGGGCGGGCGGGGCGCGTGCAGCGCGAGGGCGTCCGTGCACCAGGCTCGCGGCACACACCTGGGCGCGGGGTCCGCGCGCTCGGCGGCCTCTGTTGCGCTGCCTGCGGAGGGTCTCGGGCTGCTCGACCCGGCCGGTTCCTCCGAGGCCCTGCAAGCTACAGTACTTCCACGGTCCCCACCGTGAGAGGGGCTGAAGAAGCCCGCCCCTTGCCGGGGTGTCCGGGTCTGGGCGGCGCTGTGGGAGGCGGAGCCCCGAGGGATGTTTCCGAGGCGTGGGGGATAAGAGCGTGGCCAGAGGCTGAGCAGGGCTCTAGGTGGCCAGCTGTGGCCCCGCGATGTCGCTCGTGCTGTTGAGCCTCGCCGCACTGTGCTGGAGCGCCGCGTCCCCGGAGCCGGTAAGCCCCCGCCCGAACCCCTTTGCCCAGTTTTGGTGCCTAGATCTCGAACCCTGAGGACCTCTTATACATCGGCTCAGGTTTCTAGGAGGCTTTCGAGAAGGACCAGCTGGAGGGGTAACTCTGCACCCTTTGGGACAGCCCACTGCCTGATCCCGGACTGGCCTGACTGGCAATGGGCATCCATCAGGTTTGAGTCAGGGACTGGGAAATCAGATAGACTTGGGCTCAAATGCCACTGTGCACTTTATATTCATTTACGACCACTGTGTCTGCGTGCCCTAAAAAATTGAAGGATGAGCCCTAACTCATTCAGCGAGAAATGGGGATAGGGCATGAAAGGCATTGGCGCCCGCGCCCACACACAAAAAGGCATATAGTGGGTGCCCAATTTTAGAATACAAGAATGGCTTCTGTGTTACTTGCTTTTTTGCTTTGTTGATTTGTGCCCGGCCCTACAGTAGGTAAGTTGATGCGTTTTCCATCAGGTTCTTTTCTTCTCCAGTGCCTTGAAGGATTGAGAGAATCTTCTGGTTCACTAAAGAGAAAAACTTTAGCCTCTTAACACAGCATGTAATGTAAAAGCTTGGTGACTTTGTATGCTCTGTGTGCTGATAGTTATGAAAGACCAACCTCACTCATGTGCCTGATGTCTTCAGTCACTACCTTGTTCCTATCTCGGTCCCCTTTGGCCTTTACCACGAAAGGAAGAAGGCTGCCTTTGGGATAGCCCCCTCCCTTTTTTAAAGATTTATTTATTCATGCATACAAAAACTAGGGTGCAGGCCAGAGGTGCAGGGGGTAAGAGGATTCATCAGAGACAGCAATGGAAACAGAACAGGTGGACCTATTGAAATACACTGCCAAGGGGAGCAGTGGGCAGGACAGGAGAGGCAGGAGAGGTCTGCCATGCCATGTGTGGTCACCTTCCTGCCTGGGGATCGAACACATGCTGCAGTGGCTGCAGACAGCTTCATAGTGCTGTTCCTGTTGCGCCACCAGGGAGGGCCCTGGGATAGCTGCTTTAAGGCCAACAGTTTGAACTCTGTGAAGTATAGAGCTGTTGCTTTGCTTCTTCCTAAAACTCATCTCATCAGCCCTTTAACATGAACTTGGCTCCCAGTATGTTGGCTTATTTGTTTAAAAAAAAAGTCTGACCATATCCCTCAGAGTTCACCCTTAAAGACAAAGATGAGTGACATAAGTCCATCAAAACCATGAAAATTCTTGTCTTTCTTACAAGGTGTTTGGCAATGTTAAGGCTGAGAAGGATCATCTTCTACAGCTTACGGTATACTTATTAACTGGGTTTCATCACTGGAACTTACTGTTGCCTAATAGCTAAATATTTTAGGTCCAGTATTTTACTCTAAAACCAAACTACTATTTTTTCCTTTTAAAAGATATGGGCAGCTAGCATCAAATGATTTAGTACTGGCATTTCTTGGACACTGATGATATATATTTCATTTTCTCAAAGTGCTTTTAAAAATATAACACATAACATAAGTGCTTTTAAAAACAGAGCCCTCCCTAGTGGTACAATAGGTTTGGACGTAGCACTATGAAGCTAGCCACAGCCACTTCAGCACAAGTTCTATCCCTTGCCAGGGGGGTGACCGACATGGTGCAGCAGACTTCTCCTGTCTTGCCCGCTGCTCTCCTCAGCAGCGCACTTTGTCCATCCACCTGTTCTGCTCCCCAACTCTATCTCTGATGAATCCTCTCACCTCCCCTTCACCTCTAGCCTGTACCCAGTTCTGTATGCATAAATAAATAAGACTTTAAAAATATAACATGATAAAAATCACAGTTGTGCTATGATTTTTTAAATAGCTCAGCTGAGTCCTTTTATATTAGAAAAGGAATATTCTAAAGAACCTCAGGCTTCTTTTGTTCCTCTTCTGGAAGGAATTTCTGGGGGAAACACAACAAATACTCTAGACTGTCTTGAAAGTCTACAGTTACACACAAGAGTGTATGGGGGCCTTTATGGGTCTGGTTCATCCCCTACTTGTAGCAGGGAAGCTGAGGCATGGGGTGGGGGATGGATGGACAGGCCTGAATATCAGGCAAACTGATGTTAATCCATGATCCATTAAAACCTACAGTGGAACAGTCTCCCTCAAAGAGGAAGCAGCTCAGGTCTTTCTTTAAACACTTAGCTATTCTCTTGAAAGTTCTTCACTTACATGCATTTAATAAAAAAAGATGCTGTTTGTGTAAATGAAGGCTTGTGGTATGCTGGCATTCAATATGACTCTTGGTTTCTTTCTCTGTTGCAGACGATTCAGTGTGGCTCTGAAACTGGTAGGTGCAGTAGTAAATGGATATTTGGGGATTTACACTGAAAGCATAGTTAGGTTTGTTGGGGGGGGGGGCAGCAGGCAAGCAAACCAGGCACAGGTGAACCATTGCTTTGTTAGTTGATACAGATGAAGTCTCTATCTGCACAGAGTTCCCCATGTTCTTGAAAACAAGAAATAAAGATCTTAGGGGAGTGTTTAGAATGGTAGATGTCAAAGAATGGTGGGCTGGAGGAGATGGTACTGGCAAAGACTAGGCAATGGGAAGTGGGAGTTTTGTGGCCCAGCTAGCTGGAGTCCAGACTAAGACATAGGGCAGGCAGGAATAATCCTAACAACCAAGTTAAATACACTAAACACACACACACACACTCACACATACACGTGTAATCACCTGAAGTGGTTTCAAGTTCTCTGTAGGTTGGGACCAGGAGGTTGAGCATCACTGTGGCTCTGAGTCAGCACTGAATAATGGGTAGCCGGCGTTAGCAGAAAAAAAGATGAAATGTGATAATGGGATGGCTCTGAGTAGGTTGCTTAAAGTGGCTAGTATCAGGCTGGGTTGCAGAAGGGAATGTCATGGGCAGTCTCACTTTTTTCCAGGGCCATCTCCAGAGTGGTTGGTCCATCACCCTCTGACCCCAGGAGACTTGCGGGACCTCCAAGTGGAACCTGTTAAAAGCAGTGTTTCAACTGAGCACTATTCAATTTTGATGAACATAAGCTGGATACTCCGGGCAGATGGTAAGCTTGCATCAATCACAGATAAGGCCTAAATATGAGCCACTGATTCCGCTCATAGTCATATATTCAACAGAATACATACTGGAATGTTCACAGTAGCATTATTCATGACAATCATATATAGAATGCAATAGAAGCAGAATTGTAGAATCGTGAAGAACTGAAATCACAATTGAATCAATACAACAATGAATCTGAAAAATCCATAAGTACACACAATATGGATAAATCTCATAAATATAAGCAAGCCAGATTCAAGAATTCATATTTTTATCTGCATTCATACCTTTGCAATTCCATTAACAAAAAGTACACAACAGGCAAGCCTAACTAAGTGGTGAGAGGTCAGGATAGTGGTTACTCATAGGTGGGGAATGATGGGAAGTTGGCATGAGGGGCACTCCTGGAGTGCGCTTTTCCTGTGCATTGGCTGCATGAGTGTGAAAACTGATCCACTGGTCCAGATATGATCCGTGTACTTTTCTTTCTGTTGTGCTATACTTCATGGGAGAAAATAGGGTAAGTCCAGAGATGATTTCTCCAAGTTAAGGAAACACTCACTTTTCCACTTCCAAATGTGATCAAGAAAGCCCTGGCATTCCCCCTAGGCACTTATTAAGTTCTTTCAGTGAACCAATCCTTGAGTCCTAAAGCCCCTATCTGTGGTTTCCACTGGCTACATTTAGCTAACTAACCCCCATCCAGTTACGAATCCAGGAATGTCAGGCACATAAAGTGTGGTGGCTAGAGGAATAGTTAGATACAGTGTCAGGGAGTCCCAGGAAGAGCTGTGCTCCATCTGAATGTGTTAGAGCAGGCAGGAGCAGGAGGAGGCCCTTGAGATGGCAGTATAGATGATGTCAAATTTGCCCCATAACTGGCACAAAGTGAGCTTCTGTGTTGTTAGCATTTGTTATAGGTAAAGGTAGATGAGTTGGGTCCTGAAGAAGGTAAGGAGGTAGAGAATGGAAGAAAAACACTCCAGGGGAGACTCAGCTGTTCAAAGGTGCAGTCAGAATGACTTCTGTGGTGTTCCCCAAAGTCAGCCCATTCTTCCTAAGAGACCCAGAATAGTGCAGATTAGAGTCACCTTTACAGGTACTCTGAAATTCAGGCTCATCCATGAGGAAGAAAGTCTTTGAAATTTGAATCTAGATTCTGTTGTTCCTGAACTTTGTAAGTTTAGGCAAATCTCCTTGGAACTAAGCCTTAGTTACTTACCCCGTCAATAAAGAGGATATAATAATCATGCCTAAAAGTTAGAGCTACTGTGAATGCAAACTAAGATGAGGCATGTAAAGTGTCTAGTGTCAAGTCAGCCACATAAGTGCTAAATAAACAACTGCCTTCTTGCCTATCTTGGCAGCCAGCATCCTCTTTTTGAAGGCCACCAAGATCTGTGTGACAGGTTATAGAAACTCCCGGTCCTATGGTTGTGTGAGGTGCAACTACACAGAGGCCTTCCAGACTCAGACCAGACCCTCTGGTGACAAAGTAAGTACCCTTAGAAACTTGACTGATTATTGTTAAAGTTGGGCCCTTTGTTTTGGGGAAATCAAAGGCTGGTAAGCATATACAACTTGGAGTTTGGAGTGGGAGTATCTGAATTCAAATCTTAATTTTGGTTACCCTCTGCTATGTGCCTTGGGCAAGTCAACATTTCTGGGGGCATTAGTTTCCGCATCAGCAAAGTGAGGGGGAGCTGAGCTTAAATTCGATCCTGACTCTAAAATTTTACACTTCTCTGATTTTGTAAGTTATGGAGACAAACTGTGTGGGGCTCATTTCCTAAGTAGATATTGACTAGGGACAAAAGTTTTAGCAGTAGAGGAAGGAATGGAATTCTAAGTAAGAAGAGCAATACAAAGGTACTACATTTCTGCATTGCAGTATTGCAGAAATTCAGGGGTTCATTGCTTTGCCTTTCAGTGGACATTTTCCTACATTGGTTTTCCTGTTAAGCTGAACACACTCTATTTTATTGGGGCCCATAATATCCCCAATGCAAATATGAACGAAGATGGCCCTTCCATGTCTGTGAACTTCACCTCCCCAGGTAAACTTTCCACTCTTCTGTTATTTTTGGTGTTTCTAGGACACTTGCTTTGGGGTGTGTGGTTTGTTATAGAGGGCATCTGTGACAAGGGCCTTGCTGAATATTGGTTTCTTCACTGATAATGTAACAATTCTGTTACCTCACAAATTGAGAGGATTAATTCAGGTAAAATGTATTCCTGTGTGCCAGGTCCTGAGTTGCACACTCTTACGTATCATCTCACTTAAGCCTCCAACAACTCTTAAGATCTGAATAGCCTCACTTTACAAATGAAGAAACTGAGCTTACTTTGGGTTACTATTACCAAGTGAAGCTGACAATCACAATGTGGTCCTCCTTGACCAGGGCACCTTGGCCACTCTTTGTGTCACTGATGTAAAATGGCTGTTCCAATCTTGATTTTCTAGCAAGCTGCATTATTTGACAGCATGTGGCTAGGTCTGAAGATCCAGTAGACTCATTCACCAAGCTAGCAGTGACAGGCAAAATGGAACTGAGTTAAATGCTGCTCTATAAAAAACACTTAGTTCAGCTTCATACTCACAATGTCACACATAAGGTTGCAGTGAAGAGGGGATGGGATCATATATGTAAGGAGTCTAGCACAGTGCCTGGCTGCAGCAGTTTCCATACTACCCTCATGTGAGTTGGGCCTCCTGTTCTGTACCTCTCTTCTGTTGTCTGTCTCAGGGAGTGTCAAAGAGAAATTGGGCAAGTTCTAATTTATTTCTCTTCCTTGATATTGTAGGCCAGGGTGCTTTTGGTACCACGTCATTTACTACACAGCAGTTTAGTTTTCTTGATGAGAAAACCTCATTTTAAAAAACTAATGTTTTAGTTGGATATATTTCAGACTTAAAGAAAAGTTGCAAAGATAGTGCAGGGTTCCCCTCTACCTAACCTAGTCTCCCCTACCATTAGTATATCTGTCAAACCAAAGAAAATAGTACTAATGCATTTCTGTTAACTAAATACAGACTTTATTAGGATTTTACCTCCTTTTCCACTAATGCTCTCTTTGTGTTCTTGTTGTGTTTAGTCTTTTGTGTCTCCTTAGTCTCCTCTAGTACATGAGTTTCTCAGTGTGTCCTCCTCCTTCATGACCTTGACAGTCTAGCATGGTTAGGGAGCCTATAGGTTATCCCCAACATAGTTTTTACCCAATGTTAGTCTCATGAGTGGATGGTGGATATGGGTTTTGGCGAGAATATTGCAGCTGCACCCTTCTCATCACATCCTGTCAGGCTGGTTGGCATCTATGCGACAGTGCTGGCCTTCCCCTTCATTATTTGGTTAAGTGGTACCTGCCAGGTTTCTCCACGTAAATCTACTGTCTTACCTTTACCAACTCTAGTTTTTGCAAGCAAGTCAGAATCAACCCCACCCAGAGGTGGGGTATGGAGGTGGGTAAAGCTCTACCTCCTGGAAAAGATAGCACCTACTGACATTACCAAACCGCATTTTTTAAAAAAGATTTATTTATTTATGCATTCAGAACTGGGGTGCAGGCCAGAGGTGCAGGGGCAGTGAGAGGCTTTACCAGAGACAGAATTGGGGGAAGAACAGGCCGACTGACGAAGTACACTGCTGAGGGGAGCAGGGTCAGGTCAGGAGAGGTCTACTGCATCATGTGGGTCATCTCTGGGGTGGGGATTGAACTCATATTTAAGTGGCTTTAGGTTCTTAGTGCTGTGCTTTAACCCGCTGTGCCACCAGGGAGGGCCACCAAACTTCATTTTTAATGGAGGTTTGAGTTTTCTGGATAGATGACGTTTTGATAAAGGCTTTACATAAACTTTGGTTATTGCTTCATGGGTAGGTAATTTTTTATTTAACAGGAAAATGTTAGCATCCCATTTAAATCTACTGACCTTGCATCTGGAAGGTTCTGGCAGTTTGTTACGTGTGGTGACCATGTCTGTTGGCTAGGGTGTGACCAGAAACATGTTTTTCTAAAATGTAAAAACTTTCATTCAAATTCCTAGGCTGCTTAGACCATGTAATGAAATACAAAGAAGAGTGCATCAAGGGTGGTAAGTAAATACAGCATTTGTTTATGTAATTAGAAGAAATTCGTAAGTTGAGCCTGTATAGTTCAAGCCATGTTTTTACAGATGAAGAAAAGTTTGTTCAGTTACTGAAGGCTGATCATGGCCATTGTGTGTGTCCAGAGTCAAGCAGCCTGTCTGGGGAAGGATGGACTCTTAGTAGGTTTATGAGGTGGAACAAAACATCACAGAAGACATCCTACTCCTGAGTTGAATTAAGCTTTTAGCTTAAACTGCACTTAACGTGGTGCCAACTGAAGGCCATTCCTGGATTGATAGGAATTTTGAGTCCTTCCAACTGTGCTAACACTGACCTTGGTCATGGGGACCCTGAGAGCCTTGTGTTTGAATTAGCAACTATTCAAGGTAAGAATGTTAGCTGAAGTAATGACTTGGAAGCATGTTCTCAATTTATGTCAGCACTGGGGTTTACCTCTCACAGGCTAGATGGCTAGAACCCACCCCATCCTTAGAATTATGAAATAAACCCCCTCAGGATAGTTAGTCCCAAGTGTCCTATTTCCAAGGATTTATGTAAATTTCTGGGTAATACCCCCTAAGGATTGTAATGACGGTAATGGTATCTGAGGAAATCTTTTAGGTCTCTCCCCTGACAGTACCCTGTCAGGCTGAAATGGTCAGAAATGGCCTCTGAGGTGGGGAAAATGATGCCAGCAATTATATATTATATTCCTAGAAATTAACCTACTGCTCATTTGCAAGTCACATGAATGCAACAACTTCTCACAGTGTAGACCTATCAGAATGATCTGATAGATGAAGATCTTAGAACCTAGAATGTTCTAGTTGGAATCCTGATCCTTAATTCACTTGCTCTATAACCTGTGGTTCCTTTTTCCCATTTTGAAAAGGAGAAAATATTGATCCTAGTCCTTAAAATGGATGCTGGGAACAGAGATGAGCCATTTTTAGCAAACCAGTTAACATAGGGTCGCTAGACTTTCTGCAGGTACTCTGACATTCTGGGACCAATGCTGCAAGAACACTCTGTAGTAGTTTGTTTCTCTTGGATGTATGCCTGAGAATTTACATTTGTTTCATCAAGAACTAATAGGGACTCAGAAGAGGGAACATTACAATTCCATCCATGTGATTCTTTCTCAACTCACAGGAAGTCTGTGGGATCCAAACATCACTGCTTGCAAGAAGAATGAAATGGTAGAAGTAAATTTTACGACTAGTCCCCTTGGGAACAGATACATGGCTTTTATCCAAAGTAGCACTGGGATTGGGGAGCCTGAGATGTTGGAGGTACTTTTCTCTTTCATTTTCCTAACACTAACCCCATGCTCAACCTCCCAATGTCCTTACCTTGTTGTAGAAAAATGTAGACATTCTAGGATTCTCCAGTCAGGTTTTTGTTTGTTTTTTTTTTGAGAAAGCATGGATAGGACTGTTGTCCAAATGTGCTGGGTGTGTTGATTAATTCATGAGTCCCTGGAGGCATCTACAAAAACATTACCATGAATCTAAAACCAAACAAAAGTAGATGTTTAGTATTAAACGACTCCTCCTTCACACAGTCTCATGAAGTGAGCTTGGGAACAGTAGTTTCTTTGTTGGTAGTCTGTGATCTCATTTGTATGGCTCATGATTCTTGGCTTTGTCTCTTATCTGCACCAGAGCAATCAAACTTACATTTCTGTGATGATTCCAGTGAGCGGGGAAAGTGAAGATGCTGTGGTACAGGTAAAGTTTAAAGCGCTGCTTTGAGGAAGGAGGCATTAGAAGTCTGATTGCTTCACCACTAACTGCTTTTGATGAGTCCTTTCAAAGTTGGAGTACATGAGTTCTTGCCCCCATTCATGATCATGGAATCTTAGCCTCAGTCTTTACAATGTTAAGGTCACAGATCTTACAGTCGCGCTTCCCTTTGCTTGTATTAGTGACTATTAAATTTCCTAAGTGCTTTTCTATTTTCTGTCATAGTAATTCTGAGACAGGAATGCCAGTTTTCTCAAGCCTTAGTTTTACTGTAAAATGAAGTAACAAAGGATATGAAATCAGGTTTGGATTCCTGGATCAGTGTATATACTTTGAGGACAACTGCCTGACCCCTCAGGCCTCCTTCCTTCAGCTAAAAAACAAGAAGCTGGACTAGCACATGCTCTCAGATGTCTCTCAACCCTAGGTTTATAATGAGGGTTCTCTGAGGGTACCCACAGGATACAGGATATAAGGAGCTTTTGTTTTTCATTCCTTAGAACATAAAGGCAGCACTTGGCCATGCCGGAGGGAGCAGATACCTGTCAGCATGTTAGGACTGCAACCCTTTTCCAAGACCCATCTATATGGGTCTTTCCTAATCCCAGAGGACCTATATGTCCTCAATTAGAACTCTTCCAATGTTTTCTGAAAGGAAATGCCTGTATAAGTATTAGGATATGATATAACCTTTTTAGAAAAGGAAACTCATGTATTAACAAGACATACAAAGTTTTAGGTTCAGAACTTGAGTCTTAAATGCTGTATCAGCTGTGGATCACTAGTTTGGATTTTAGGTCTGTTATAGAAGCGTGACAAGGAGGAAAAAAAGTATCTTTTGCAATGCTGGGTGTGTGGGTTGTGGGAAGGGTTTGGAAACCAGGCAAAAAGGAGGAAGAGATGTCTGAGAAGAAGCAGGAATAATGTTGATATCTTGCTCTGAAGTGTGGGGAGAACTTTCTGAGCCTTTCATTTTTCCTCAGTTGATTCCATATTTCCATACATGTGGCAATGACTGTATCCGACGCAAAGGAGCTGTTGTGATCTGCCCACAAACAGGTACTCCCTTCTATCTGGATAACAGTAGGTGCCCACTGTCATTGGGTAATCAAAGAGGTTCAGAGCATGAAAGATCCACCATCCCTAATCTCTCCCTACCCTCAGTATGTGTCCATTGTGTGCAGATGGGGAGTGGGAGCTCAGTCCTGTCTGTGTATACTGAGCTGGGGTGCACCAAAAGATGTCAGTGCTGTCCCAGAGAGCCAGTAATCTTAAGAATGAAAGCTTTACTTATAAAATCATTCAAGATCATTTATGAAGCAGCATACTTACAGACAGGAACAAAAATAAAATGGATATTCAAGGTACCACAAGGAACTGAAAAAACCAATGGCATAAAAGGACTGGCTATTATATAAGGAACATGCATTTCACTCCATTTTGATATTGTTATCCATTTCAATAGCATAGGCCTAGCTGTTACTGTAATTTGACACAGCCAATATTTGGATAACAAATTAGGAACACTGACACCAAAAGACAAGTCTTGCTGGTGCCTCAGCACAGCACATTCAACAAAATGTCTCTGGAGTTAGAGATATGAGGTAGTTCTTTCAAAATGGACAAATAAAATGTTTCTGGAGCTATCTCAGGGATGGAGTCAAATGTTAGTAGATGTTGTTCTGAGAAACTTCATCAGACCAACTGAAGACAACCCGGCTGCCTCCCCACCCTGTCTTCTGTGTGGGTGCAATACCTGAGCTTTCCTGGTCGTTGGCATTCTTCTTGAGAGGCTGGCATTGGCTACCACAGTAGTGATTCTAGCAAAAACAGCTTTTAAAAATGCTATGAATTACATAATTACACCCAGAAAACTACTAATTTATCAAAGAACAACAAGCTAAATGTAGAATGCCTAAATATGTGTACAGTAAGAAGCCAAGGTGATTTTAGAGGACTTGGTCTTAACCTCCTATGACCCATATCCTTTTTGAAGATCTAATAAAACTTGGCCACTTTATGAAAAAAAATACACTTATCTATAGACCATCTCCCACAAAGAACTACTGACCCTTGGTTTTTAAAGAGATCTAAACTTCCACAAAGTCTGAAGTAAAATCTTGGTTTTCAAATAGGAACTAAATTTGATTTGGCTTTGCTAATGTGACCAAATTTTGTTTTCTTCAGGTGTAAGCACGTCGAGTAGCTGGCTGCCTCTCCTCCTCCCTGCCCTGCTGGTGGGCACATGGGTGCTGGGGGTTGGGATCTATCTAGCATGGCGGCATGGTAAGGTTTATAATTCAGTTCTTTAAATTTTTTACGGTACTTCTTCTGAAGGTAATCACATTTGGTATAAGAATCAGGGAGTATCTACTTAATGCCTCATAGCTATCCTAATACACTGATAAAATGACTGGGGCTCACCTGCTAAAGTACGCATCAGGGCCTCCAGACCTGGTGTTTCATCTGCTTTATTTTTACCACTGAAGCACTGAAATGGGTGAAAGACGTAATAATTGTTTTGCCTGTGATTTGGACTGTATGCGCAATCATACTTTTAAATAATTTTTAAAATTTTAAAATTTTAAAGGTGTCAGAACATATACTTGCATTTATATACACTAAAGTTCTTGACAACTCCAACATTGAGAATTTGAATCAAAAATCAGAGTATTTATGTAGGTATACAGATACAGAAGAAGGCACACTGAAAATCTTTTTCCACAAATATGAAAATACAAATGCAAATTTGAGTCATTTGTGAGGATAGAACCAAACTGTTCCCGTGTTCTTTCTAAGCTAAGAAAGTCATACAGCAACTTGACCTTAGAAATATTTATATTTAGGGGATGTTGTTTGACCAATATTAAAGTACTTTAATTCATAGTTTCTGTTCTATACTGCATATAGGACAGAGTTACAGTTAAGTTCTAAGGGCTGAAATGATACACCACTTATGGAGCTACTTATAAAGAAACTCTCCCACCTGCAGGTAGAAGGTAGAACTACTGTGTTAACCCAACTCAAAATAGGCAGCACAGGGGTCATGGCACTAACAAGTACTAAATAAAAAACACACCTAAAACAAAGTAGCTTAAACCAAAATTATTTCTAAGAATTTACCTGAAAAGATGTGGCTTGATATAGAGGAATGATTAAGTCATAAGGACTCTTAGAAAATACATCTTTTAAGACATCTGTAAAGGTTTTAGGTGATATGCTCTAAAGGAATATAAAGGATAGTTTTCTCGCTAGCAGAAATAACACCTCTGGTGCTCGGCCAGTGTTCCCTAGCATGGGATCACTTATTAGACAATTTAGAGTAAAAACCTGTTAGTTGTTCATGGATAACAAGTGCTTTTCTCCCCACAGAAAGGATCAAGAAGATTTCCTTTCCTAACACCATGCTATTGCCACCCATTAAGACTCTTGTGGTTTACCCATCTGAAGTGTGTTTTCACCACACAGTTTGTTGCTTTGCTGATTTTCTTCAAAATCGCTGCAGAAGTGAAGTTATACTTGAAAAGTGGCAAAAAAAGAAAATAGCCGAGATGGGTCCAGTGCAGTGGCTTACCACTCAGAAGAAAGCTGTGGATAAGGTCATTTTTCTTCTTTCCAATGACGTCAGCTCTGTGTGTGATGGCACCTGCGGCAGGAGTCAGGGCAGTCCCTGTGAGAACGCTCAAGACCTGTTCCCCCTGGCCTTTAACCTCTTCTGTAGTGATCTGAGAAGCCAGACTCATCTGCACAAATACATGGTGGTCTGTTTTAGCGAGGGTGATACCAAAGACAGCTACAATGCCCTCAATGTCTGCCCCAAGTACCACCTCATGAAGGACGCTGCCACTTTCTGCACAGAACTTCTCCATGTCAAGCAGCATGCATCAGTAGGAAGAAGACTGCAAACCTGCCACAACCATTGCTCCTTGTAGTCCACCCATGAGAAGCAAGAGACCTCCTACCCTTCCAAAACAAGAGCATCTCTGATGATTCCAGAAGCTTGTTTGGACTACATGTAGGAGAAAAAAACACCCATATAGTAGCGTATGTACTTTAGCAGTAGGAGTTAGGTGAATGCATAAATTGAGTATGTATGCCTTAGTCCAGTAATTTAAAAAATTTATGCCAATGACTGTTACAGATATCATTACTGTAGCAATAAAAAACGAAACTAGACTTACTATTATAAAGCTAAATCAATTTTATTAAAAATCAACAAGTTAAAATGTAGAACTAAAACCATTCTGGTAGTCTTCCAGCCAAACATACAATCCTGAATAGTAGCATATGCACTGCACTAAACAGTTTAGATTTAATTACTGAATGCCAAATTTAAGAAGCCCTCAACTAACTTAAGTGAAAAGTCCTGTTTCACACACGTCTTTAAGATAACAAAAAAAGGGGACAAGCTGAACTGTCTTTGCTGACAGATGACCCAGTCTGTGTCACTTGCTTTATTTGGTATTTGCATGGGGCTGTCCCTGTCCACATTAGATTCATGTCTTTATAGAAAAGACTGTTAACACAAACACCAAAATATCTTTTAAATGCAGAGGTCATCAAAAAGCCATTTATATTAGCAAATATTTTCCTGGGAATGCTTCAGTCCTGTAGTGTCATACTGAATCTACTCTGTAATGTGAATCCCCAGCTAGATGATTTAAAATGTGCTTATAGAGTATCCTTAAAAGGCCATGCCACTCCTAATACATGTCTGATGGCTACAATAAAAACCCAAATGAAGCTTATTGTGTCCCAGTTTCACAGAGATATAGTAATGGCTGAGGCAGTATTAACGTGGTAAAGCTCACTTGTCATGAAGAGGTTTCACAGTGCTTCTAAGAGGTTTCACAGTGCTTCTAACAGAAAGTCGACATGGCTTCAGCTGTTTAACTTGGACCAAAACTCAAATTCCTGAATCAACATCTACCAGCATAAGGCCTAAGAACATGAGATACTCTTATTACTATGTGAATAACTACCATGAACCTACAGACAATGCTTCTGGAATTAGGTAACCAATACTACATTGTGTTGAAACAGTTCAGAAACATTTTGTAAATTTATTTTTAAAAGTCTTTAAAATATAATTTTCGAGTTGACCACATAAACCACATACAGTACTAGCAAGTTAAAATTGTTATACTGGTGAACTATTGCTACGTCCTAGTCTGTTGTAGGGACAGTATCAATGCAAAGTGTTCCAACACCAACATTTCTCCATGTCCTGACATCTAACCATTCCTATTCATTCTGTGACCCACTCATCTTCCATCCATCCCAACATCCCTTGCTGACAGATGACCCAGTCTATGTCACTTGCTTTATTTGGTATTTGCATGGGGCTGTCCCTGTCCACATTAGATTCATGTCTTTGTAGAAGAGACTGTTAACACAAACACCAAAATATCTTTACCCTTCTTCCAGTCCCTCCCTGTTCTTGGTAAGTGAGGTGGTGGAAGCAGGTGCCTAATGGGGATTGGTGGGAGTCAAACTTTCTCTTGATCCCCACAGTCTGGGCACCCACCTGTGCTTACTAGCTCCTGTGCCTGGACAGTGCCTTCTGTTCCTGCAAAAGGCTTCACCAAGGTCTGGATCACTGCTGGCAATAGATGTTTATATTTTGATCTTACTGCAAGGTGCTTACATATTAAACTAATCAAACTGAATACAAAGAACTCCAAAAGCTGTCATTTCGTTCTTCAGCTAAAGGGAAATTGGAGGCTCGATGATTAATTTATTAGTAATGACAGGGCTCACCTTATTTATTGTACAATACACTCTAATAACTCTAAAATTGGATGCCATTTGTTTGGGTAAAAGGAAACAAGTTTGTCTTTTCAGTTTTTATTGTGTTTTGGTCAAATAATGGTTTTCTTTCCGTAAGACCACCCTAGAGCATGTTGGGTAACAAATGTCAACCAGCTAAATTTTTTGCCTCTGAAAATCTACACCTGAATGGGTTCCGATCTTTTTTGTACGCCAACAGTATTTGGGGGGGTTGGGTGGGGGGGGTGAGGGGGGCGGGTAGGAATAGGAAAGAAGCTTTTTTTTTTCCAATTTGAAATTCTAAAACATAAGGGCGGACATTTACGCTTGCTGGACTTACACAAGAGAGAAAAGGTCATGACCAGAGTTCATGTCCAATTACATGCTCATGATGGCCAGTGGTGGCATGAGATACTGTGCTTGATACTATCACCCTATGTGAAGTGACTTGCATGAAGGGCTTCAGTGGTTGAGGACCGCTGAACAGCAGTATTTTACATCACTGGAGCATTTGCGAGGCCCTGAGAAAGGGCGGAAGAATGTAGCACCAAAGATGAAGTTTATACTTATTCTCAAATAAGTATAAACTTGACTACAAAAGCAGCTTATAATTTTAACTCAGTATCATGTCATCAAATAAAATGTTGAATTCATTTATTAGCCAAGAATTTAAGCATTTACATCAATAAATTAAAAAAAAAAACTTATTTCTGTTAAGTCTTTTATACCAATAGGCTTGTTTTTGGTCTTCAACAGTAGCTTTTTCTGTCCATTTCACCAGACAAAAGCAGCTCGCTCACGTAACATGCGGACACCAAAGCGCTGCCATTCTCTCTGGTAAATCCACAGTTCCTGGGTTGTATCCAAACAAGCCAACACTGCCCCTCCTTTCCATGCAATCAGTCGGGGATCCATGTCCTAGAATAGTGATAAAGATATTTTAGCATTAAGCAGGTATTGCACTTAATAAATCACTTAAATTTTGGGGGTACTAAGTAAGTCAGATTTTCAGCTTACAGTATAGATACATGCAAGAACCCATGAACTACAGTCATCTGTTTCAAGTAAAAATGTTTTAGTTTTTAAAGTTACTCAAGATGCTAGTATTCACTATTATTCCACAAGTAGTCAGGCCTGTAGGCAAGAAACCTATGGAAGATAAGGACTTGTTTTGAAATTTGAGTGGAATATATTCTGCAATCCCTCACTCAGGATTAAGAAAGAATACACCCAGCCAACTCCTTTCATCTAAGAAGAAGTCAGTCTTGCTAGTTTGTAGAGAAAACATGGACTGATACCCAGGAATGCAGTCCCCTAGTCCAGAGCTCCTTCTACAACATCTGTAACCTGCTACAAATGGCCCACTTGCCCTAAGTCCTCAAAGATTCCACAGAATTTCATTTGTCCATATATGACATTACAATTAGAAATAATCAATGGAGGTTTCAATTGCATATAGCTCAGCTTGAATTAAGAACAATACCTTGGGTCTTGTGATCACATCCACATTTTCAATAATTCGCCTAAATGAAGGTGGCATTTTGTTGAGAATTCTGTGCTGTAGAAACTCTTGAGCTTTATGAAACATCAAGCCACCTCCCACCACTAGGATGGAGCTGTACATCTTCTTTTTGGTATCATCAGATGCTGAAAAGACAGTGACATCCCTTCCATATCCACCACCACCCTAGGCCAAGCAACCACTATCTGTAGGTTGGACAACTGCAACAGCCTTCTATGATCTCTCACTAACACATCTTCAACATGCAGCCGGAGGAACCTTGCAAAACACCAATGTGAGCATGTTACTGCCCCGTCTCCAATCCTGTTACTTGCAGGACTGGGACCAGTAATCTTAGTGGAACTCCAAGTCCAACACGATACACACTCACCTCTTCTCAGCCCCATCCTTGCACCCTGTGCGTCGCAGCTACATTGGCCTTCACACAGACTCCTTCCTCTATATGGAAGGCCACCTCATTTAATTGGCTAATCTCAACTCCCTCTTAAACCTCTCAGCTCTTCCTTAAAGAAGTCGTCTTGCCTACTCTTCATACCACTCCCATAAGTAAGTATTGCTTATTAAATCCCACATTCAGAATCTGTCATGGTAAGTATCCTTTAGTTCAATTTTGTAGTATCTGCCACAATTGTAATTTCAAACCTGTGTTTTGAATTTGATTTCTAATGTGTTTTCTTCCACTAAGCTACATACTCCAAAGGCCAGGAATTAATTCTTAACACCTGATAACACAAACACAAAGTGAGTGCTCAACAGTTTATGAATATACTACACTGCACAACTACAGCCTAGCCTGAACCAATTCATTTAATAGTATCGCCCAGCTTCCAACAAAAATGCTTACAACAACAGTCTATGCTATGAAGGATGGCTTTATCCAGGCCCAGGGCTTTCCCCTCGAACAGTGAGATGGCAGTCTTTCTGGACATCAGTGCAGTGAGGGCCTCCTCAGAATCATTGCCAGCCATCAGGCAGTCTCCCTGGGAGGATCCCAAATCCACTTCCTGGGGATGAAGTCTTTCTGGAATATCAGAAGACTGGCCACGAAGATCCCCTTCAAATCCAATGGGTTTGGATGCAGACTTTCGGTCAGCAGTAGCTTTTGCAGACTTAAGTCAATGAAAAGGACAAACAAGAAGATAGTGTAACTACAGAACACTGTTGATGTTCTCCAGCTAGCTCACACCCCACCCTTCCCTACTGCTGAACATTATGATAAAACAAAAGCTTGTCACTGGTACAGAGAGGAAATACACATTAAAATACAGCTTACCACTCATGGCAAATGGGACTGACAGCTGGTGTACAGAGATTAGGATGTACTGACAATTTCAAAACAAGACACTAGCAGGCAGGGCAGGTATTAGAGGATTTCTGTTTACTTGTTGAACTTTACAACTTAAAAATCAGTGTAGAGAGTCTCCCTGACCTATGAACTATGTTTTTAAGTGGACTATTTCAAGTTTTAAGTGGACAGTAGCTGTTATGGAACCCTCATTTTCAGATCTTTTCAAATCATCTCATGCAGATATAAAGGTTTATATCTGTCTTCTTTCCATAGTGAGCTGCTGACACTTCATTAGCAGATAATTTGTGCCAACGCATTACACACCCTATGACTAGAATCAACTTTGGACAAATGAATTCAGTTCTTTACCTATTGCATACATTATTCATATTTTACTTAAAAGTGAGATTGTATTGAAAATACTTGATAGTAGATACTCAAAAATAGGTAAATTATACACAGACTTATGGGAAGGGGCTTTGTTAAATTATCTTTTAAATGTATGGACTATTATTTTGAAATTGAATAAGCATCTGCCAAATACAGAAATCTTTCATCCATATTTTAAACTTACATCTCACTTCAACGTTAGTGCTAAGAACAATATCAACATTTGTGACCATTCATTATGGGCCATTCTACATGGACAAAACTGCCTCTTCCTACATCAGAACTACTATATACCTGCTCTTGTTTGCTCTGTGTGGCCAGTAGGTAATGTTCATCATGAGGATCCTCAGGGTCACCCTGGGATCTGTGTTGCAAAGTCGTCATTTTCTGTCCAACAATTCCAAAAGTTGCTGGGTAAAACAAAGCCATTGGAGCCTGTGCATGGAAGGAAAAGAATCATCAACCAAGGACAGTGCCTCCTGAAACAAAGCGATCCACTAAATTTTGGTTTTCCAAGAGAAAAATGCCAGTGAGGTTCTAGAAGTCAGAATGGGCAGCATTCTCTTTTGGGAGTAGATATTATTCTCAGTACACAGTAAACCAGAAAACTCACTTATCATTCAATTAAATGAGTGACAGACACCACAGAAGAGAAATCTCAAAGCAAATGCAAAACTAATGCCAAGTTACCTGCTGTGTAATTTCCTAATAAAAATGATGCCTAGGGTTTTCTCTGAAGCTCTCTGAAGCCACTGCAGCATGAGTTCAATCCCCAGCCAGGGAGGTGACCCACATGGTGCAATAGATCTCTCCTGACCCGCCCTATGCTCCCCTCAGCAGTGTACTTCATTAATCGGCCTGTTCTGCTCCCCACTCTGTCTCTGGTGAATGCTCTCACCTACCGCACCTCTGGCCTGTATTCCAGTTCTGTAAGTATAAATAAATAAATCTTAAAAAAAAAAAAAAGATGCCTAATATCTCCAAATAACAACTAAAAACCTAGTAGTTAATTAAAAACATGGCCTTCAGCTCTGTTCTTATCTATACCATTGGTGTAACTTTTGGTTTAGGGAGAATAATGTACAACCACTTGGCATTCTGACTTCATGAGGGCTCCAAATGTATATATTTTCTCCATTTGACTGAACCTTGCTGGCTTGCTTCCCACTCATGGGAAAACACACCCATTTGTTGGTACCTGGAGTTTTTCATCTCCTAGCCGAAACTGGTAAAGCAGTGCTGGGGAATCTGGATGTCGTATCTGAAACTCATGGTCTTGAAGCCCAGAGATGTCCTGATTCCAGGAAAAGATGCTGTCAGTGAATCAGTAAAAGGCAGGTAAACTCATCATATTACAATGAAAGCCTCTCTACCATCTCAATCTCAACTATACAAAGGGTCCTCTACACTTTCCAATACTCTCACTGGAATATAATTAAATGCATTCACCCGTACCTTGCTTCCTTTCTAACATTTCTAAAATTTCTACCATCTGCATTTTGTTTGCTTTACTATCAATACAAACTAATACAAAGGATCCAAGTCAATAAGCCAATTCTTTCAGTAACTGAGAAATGTTATGGTCTTATGTTTCTCATTTTTTTAAAAACTCAGAATAGTATTACTTGAAAAAAGTAAAAAACAAAATCTAAAAAACACCTGTAAGTACCAATCCATATACAGAATTAAGGGAACTGTTCACAAAGCTAAGAATTGCTTCAAATGATGTAACTTCTAGCCTATACCCATATATTTATTTGCTGCTATTCATTACACCTGAAGGTTTATTTCATCCTTTAGAACTTTGCTAAACTCTCTTAATTGCCTTCCAAATATCTTAATTTCTTTCTGAAAACAAAAATAATCAAAGCTGATTTTTCTCCCACCTGATCTAAATGACAGAAAGTTTCTTTAAGGTGCTGCAGAAGAAGGCAATCCATTTTATTTGTTAATTGGCATTCTCTGTAAGGGAACCCAGCTCGCTGCATCAGCCAGTAAAAACACCTTGACACATCAGATCC